AGTGGGAGCAAATGGGGGGGGGGCTGCCCAGAGGGGCCACAGGAACCACTATGGGGAAAAAGGCTTCCAATGGGATGGCTCATCTGAATTTGCATGGCTGCTCTTAGTTTTTTCTTACAGGCTTCCCGAACACATGGCCAGGAAAAATTCACCCGCATAGGCTTCAACCTATTAATTTAAAGGGTATTATTTCATTTGCTTGGAACCTGCTGTCAGGTATCTTAAGACTGGGGAGAAACTCAAAGCAATCTGACTTCTGCTGGCTACAGTTACTGCTGGCAGATCAGAACTTTGGCATTCAGTTTCCAGAATAACCGCTTGCTCTGTTGCATCATCAGACCAGCTAAAACACTAGCGCTCCCCTGTTATTTTCCCACAGAGTTTATGAAGAGTAGGAACGTAACACCTGGCAGAAGAAACGGGAACGTGTGACAGACATGAACAAACGATGGACAATGGAGGAGATGACTTCTCACAAGACAATACACAAAATCTATATTGTTATAAAGCACTTTTTACCAAGGATCACTTTTTACATTTTATAGCTGTATAAAAAGCTGCCAGATTTCATAAGTGTCTTTTACACACTAGATTTCATACCTGCCTTTTTTGTAGTAAGAAATCTCATGACATAATCTTCATTTTAAAGTTGATTGAGTTGTTTTGTTTTTGTTTTGTTTTTGTTTTTAATCTCCACTTGGTAGCTGTTCATATATCACTATGACTGGAAATTGGGCTTTATAAGCTCATTCAGTGAACCATAATTTGTAAAAAGTTGTTCTGAAATAGTGTCTCTTCTCTGGCACTGGGGAAACTTTCCATGTCATCATAAGGATTTCTAGTATATCCTTTTCCATAGAACAAGAGAGAGACAAAGGTACAGTTTGCTACATAGAAAGCTCCATGCTGTGGTACAATTTCAAAAGTAAGGTTTCCAGTGGTTATAAAGTAGATATAATCTCTGCAGAGGGTATACTATACAATATACTACCCCGTCATTTTTATGGAAAAAATATTTCTAAAGCTGTTTAATACCAAGAATGCACATGTTTTTTTCTTCGTATGGTTCTTTTGAAAAGGTTTTCGGCTTCAATATTGGACTATTTTAAGCTTCAGGAATATTGTGTATGGTTCCTTAGATTTGTAGTTTGAGACTCTCCAGAAATATACCTTTTTATTGGGAGAAACATCTCTGATAGGGGAATGGGTCTATATGTGTTAATCACAAAGCAACATCATCATCATTTTTGAATGTAATACTTTCAGTGGTAAGCAGTGCATTCCTCTTTTTAAAATTATAAATAACAAAACTTCCTTTTCAATTGTAAATATACTACAGGAGATTCCCTATATTATCTTTCCGTATAATGTATTGTACTGCTAAATTATCATATGCTATTTAAATGTTTGGAATATTTAGAAAGTTGCATGCAGATTTCATATTTCTTTCTATGACAAATGGAAAAATAAGGAATAAAATACATTTAAAAGGGTTGGATGTCATTTTTACTTGATAAGAAGATCTGGGACCCTCCATGTCACAAGGTCTGAATTGTGTGTCCTTTAAAAATGAGTGTCCTATTATTTGTGCCCTTGAAAGGAGCTACAAGTAACAAGATAGCCAAGTAAACCTTCTTCTGCTTGGGGAAGACTTTCAATACAGAGGATGGAATCCTGCATTTAACTGCATGTTCTTCAAAAAGCTTGTGGAAGCAGAACCAGTGGTGCGGAATGGGTCTAAAACTGGATTTCAAAACAGCTAAGTCATGTTGAGTTTGTCAAAGACTCCTAAGCATGTAAGCTCAGCTTGGCATGGAATCCCTCCACCAACACCCTTCGCTTCTGCCCTCTTCCTCTTCCTCGACCCCAAAAAACCAGTAGGGGAAAGGAGCGTTCATAGCAGCACTTCCACTAGGTGACACACTATGCCAAATGTGGGCCAAATAGAGGCTCGTCCTCTAGTCCTCTTTACCACCACCTCTAGGGCCTGTTGATTACAGTAACAAGGCGTGCAAGAGGGCCTGAATTTGAGGGCAATCCTCCACCAAGAACAATTTCTTTTCTGTTTATCTTGAAACTTAATCACTTTGCTCAAGCCCACTCTGAGTCTAGCTGGGAGAGAGAGTTCTCCCGTCCTTGGTAACAGAAAAACCACCTGTTACTTCGTGTATACACCCCACTGGCCAGCATCCGGCAAGCAACGAGCATTATCAGCTCCCACTTATTTCAGCAGGATTTAAACATGCTTAACTGTGCACACAATCTGGGAGACAGCAAAAATGCACATATATTTAGCCTCTGGTGATCAGGGAGCTAGAGGTTGCCTTACTGTGAAAAGATTATCTCATAACACGCAGTCAAGGGCCACTGTGCATAACAGGTAAATCTCATTTCAGTACATTTTTATCCCCCAAGGTACGAGAGGTCCTTAATGTTCTTTTATTGCAAATTGTTTTCTCATATATATTCCTCTCTCTCTCTCTCTCTCTCTCTCTCTCTCTCTCTCTCTCTCTCTCTCCCCTGCCCGCCCGCTCTATAGAGTAGAGTAGAAAGTAATCCAGTCTGTTCTGAGCAGACTCTGTTCAAACTCAGCTTCTGGATTTCTCAAGCTAAACACATCATACAGATTGTTTCAAGGCAGTGGGAATGACAACAGCCAGCTCCAAGCTGCAACAATTTAGCTGACTGGCAGGAGACTGCGCGGGTGCAAGCTGAAATAAAATCGAAGTGCTGCATCTTTTCTATAGCAATTTCCTGACAGTCAGTAGTGCTTCAAAGGTAGTCAATAAAGTTGGATGGAGCTGGCTTCTTGAAAAGGCCAGTGTGCGGCATTCCTGCATTCTTCATGCTCTTTGTCTTCCCTTAACATGTGGACCTCAGGCTGCAGGCGCCACGAGGGGGCAGCCGGTGGTTGGAGGCGAGAGCTGAGCACCACACCACCTGCTCTGCACCCCCTTCATGTGCCGTGAAGGACACTGTTGAACAAACGTTCATCTGCACTTGGCTTCTTGTACGTGGGAGGGGAGGGGACACCATCTTGGTCTTTGCCTCAGGCTAGGAGCAGCCCCTGCCACTGTGGTCACCTCTTTACGTGTCCCCAAGCAAAAGTCCCTGACTCCTTCACACTGCCTTTGATGCATCCCAGTCCCTTGGCCTGTGGGGAAAATGATTTTCTGCAGGTTAAGTAAAGAAGGCTTGACAGGTTCAAGGAGTAACGAAACATGCAGGATGAATGAGTTCAGGTCTACACCAGCAGTCTTTCAGTGAAACATCGTGCTTCAACCTGGCACTATTCAGGTGTTATGGATTTTAGGAATCTTGGGAGTCTTGGCCTGCAACAGAAAGACTGGGAAGGCTTGGAATAATGACTGGGTTCACCTATGATAACGGTCAAATGGCTAGCTGTTGTGTGAACCCAGAGTGGGTTACCCTGTGGGGGTAGTTTGTTCCCCCCCCCAAAACTCCCCACAGTGAGAACCTGTGGGTTGCCATGAGGTTTGCTTTCCCCACAGTGGGTTGCCATGCCATCCCCACGTCACTTTCAGGGGGCCTCACTCAGGATCTGAGCCAGGGCCACAGCTCCCCCTGGTGATGTGATTGTGAAGAGCAGCACAGTCCGCCCTGCAAGTGCCTGTGGGGCCACCGTCAGAGCCGCGGGTGCTTGCAAGATGAGAGCTTGTGCAGTCACGCAGTGCAGCCAGGAGCTCAGCGAAATGCCGCAGAAGGCTTCCCCAGGCTGCCGTCACCTTACAACAACATCACGTGGCCTTTGCGCTTTGTAGTGCAGTGCTGGCCTGCTCTTACCCAGCGGTGCCTGGTATGGGATCCTCACCTCCTTCTGACCTTACCTTTGCCTCTGGCTCTGTCGTGCCTTTTGGCATCTGAGCCTGGCTCATTCCTCTGCTTTTGCCTCTGGTTGTGTCTTGATAGTCTCTGACCCTTGCTTCACCTTTGCTTCTGGCCTGGCTGCATCCGTGCCAAACCTCCCTTCCTCCCTGGGGCTCGAGGCAGAGGCGCCTGCTGCCTATGTCCGACCTTGGCAGAAGCAACTCCGGCTGCCAGAAAGGCGCTTGGTCATTTAGAGAAAGACACTCGCAGTCGGAGGGGTCAGGGCACCTCCTCAGGCGGCCCCTCCTGCCCTGGACTCAGGAGAGAGTGAGGATCCCTCCCCTTGGGAGCTTTCGCCCTCCTGCAGACAGTCCGAGGCTGAGGAGGCCCGGGCTGCTCGTGGCAGGCAGGCAGGCAGGCAGGCAGGCCCCGGAAGTGCACCACTGCTTGAAGGCGGCGCTCCATCCCGCAGTCCCCTACCCCATCCGTAATTATTTCAGTGTCCATTATTCTCTCTCTGCATTTAATTTTAGCATGATATATTGTCACTGATTTTGAAATTATGCTATATGGGGTTCCGTCTTAATAAGAACACCAGTGTAACCCTTACAGCTGTGCTAGAGGCACACTGCAGTGCAGTTTAAAACAAAAATCCCAAAACAAAACACTCTCTTCCTTTTTGTCAACTTCAAGTACTACGTGGAATTAGTAATGGGATGCAGAGGCTGTCACCACTTACATGTCACTTGTTCTTATATGGTCTTGGGCAGGAATGGCCAAAATTTTATTAACAACTGTCTAGTGATCTGCGTTAATGCTCCAGGTTTCACTCTTAGTATCCAGATGTCCACCATGCCTTCAACTTACTGGACGCCACTGGGACCCGGTTGTGTGGTGCATAGCACTAGGAATTCATTAAGCAGCACTGTATGAAAGATTTCCACTGCTCTTATTAATTTTCCATGGTCTGTTGGTGTTAAAACAATGGACTGTACCAAAACTCTGATAGGCATCTACTAAAGGCATCTTTTTCACCTCCTCCTCCTCCTCCTCCTTCTAAACCCATTTAACAAAACTGACTGCTACTAAACAACTGGGTACAGTCAATGCGAATCGAGAACCACTTCCTCCACCGCTGCAAAGCTGGTGCTGCTGTCGGGGTACACGTGCAGCAGCAGTCGTGGTTGTTCTGGTGGCGGCGGGATTTCCTTGGTGTCTTCGGTGGCGGCCACCCCTGCTGAGGCCCTGCCCCTGATGAAGAAGCCAAAGATGGAGCAGATCCTGGCCGACCACGGGCTCTTCTTCCAGGCCTTCAAGAGCAAGTGTGGGGTAGTTGGGCGGGAAGGGAGGAAGGGCCGAAAGTAGCAGCTTCCCCTGCGCCATCTGCTCCCCTTTGGCTTCTTCACTGGTGGTAGGTCTGCAGCCAAGGCAGCCATCGCCGAAGACACCAAGGAAAGGCTGCCACTGCCAGAATAACCACTGCCACCTCCAATAGCCCCACCAGCTCTGCCGCCTGGAGCAGCAGCAGAGGTAGAACTGCCGATGCCCCTCTGCGCTCGCCAGCAAGAGTGAGCGGGGCACGCTGGGGTGAGCTCTTGCAAGCAGAAAGAGAGCGGGATGGGTGGTGGTCCCACAAGAGCTCACCCCAGCATGCCCTGCCTGCTCCTGCTGACTCTAAGAAGCCAACTTTGGATGAGGTGTCTTGACCCCCTTCTTGAATGTGGAGATAACGGGGACCAGTCGCAGCTCCAAAGAGAACTTGTGTTTATGAATGTCTGTGGTTCTCCTGGACCTCTCAGCAACTTTTGACACCATCCACCATGGTGTTCTTCTGGACAGGTTGCCTGGGTTGGAGATGGGCAACGGTGTCCAGAAGGTGGTGCTGGAGGACAGTTGCTCTGTCCCATGGCAAATATGCTGTAAGGTCCCTCGGGGCTCAATACAATCCCCCAGGCTGTTCAATATCTACAGGAAACTGCTGGGAGCAGTCATTCAGAGGTGGGGGATGAGGTGTCATCAATATGCTGATGACACCCAGCTCTACATCTGGTTTTCATCTAACCCAGGCGAGGCACTTTCCATCCTGAATCACTGCCTGACCTGGATGAGGGCCAAGAAATTGAAGCTCAATCCAGATAAGATGGAGGTGCTGTTGGTGGATGGTCCGTCTGCCCAGAAAGTGGGCCTATAACCTGTCCTGAATAGGGTTGCACTCCCCTTGAAGGACACGGTTCACAGCTTGGAGATGCTCCTGGACCCAACACTATCACTTGAGTCTCAGGTAGACTCGGTGGCCAGGAGTGCCTTCGTTCAACTGTGTTTAATTTACCAACTGTAGCCCTACCTGGACAGGCAGAGCCTAGCCGCAGTCACACATGCTCTAGTTACTTCTCAGCTTGACTATTGTAACCCGCTTTACATGGAGTTGCCCTTGAAGACGGTCTGGAAACTCCAAATGAATAGGGCAGTGCAACTGCTAGTGCAAGCAAGTTTGCACACCCATTTCACCCTGATATTATATTGGTTACATTGGCTACCAATTGAACTCTGGGCCTAATTTAAGGTGCCTGTGCTAACATATAAAGCCCGACATGGCTTGGGGCCAGGATAGCTGAAGGACCACCTGCTCCCATATGCGGTTCCCAAGATCAGGTGTGGAGGCCCTTCTGAGAGAGGAATGGGAGCCGCGTGGTCCTCCAGGATGTAGTGCTGTACAGCCCCCCATCTCCCTTGGCCAGTGGCCATGCTGACTGGGGTTGATGGCAGCAGAAACCCAACCCTGTGTTTGGGCCACACATTCCCCAACTGTTCTGGATGATCAAATAACAGTAGTAATCAGTGTATTTGTGTAACATTCCCCTACACAAAGAATGCCAGCAAAGACATTGAAAAAATAGGGGGATTCTTTAAGGAAGGTAAGTTGTACCATAATCCCTTCCCTTTTACTCTCCTTTTGCAAGCATGTGACCTTCATAGAGAAGCAAGGGTGCATTGGCCATTCCAGGAAGCCCTGATGCTGAACACATTTGAGTTTGCCTCCAGAACACATGATCACAATTACTACATGGTACCTGGTTCACCAGAATTGTTCCAGGAGAAAAGCAGTACCGACACAACCAAGAGAATAGTTGCAAACAACACAAAAGAAAGCAAACCCAGTGGTGGATCCAGACTGAATCACAGCTAGAGATAAGTCATGACTAACTAACTGGGTCTACTCTAACGACACTGAAATCCACCTGGGCCCTTTTTCCAGAAAGTGTTGCCTACACACAAACTCTGAAAATACAGTGCTCGCCCCACAAATGTTTCCAGCTGATAACATAACACAGCCCAAGTTTTCATATCTTTCAAAACTGGAATTACTCTAAGGGTCAGTGTCCTTAACGCAGTGTATGGTGGACTGCCTGCCTTTCTCAAAATGCCATAAATAAAAACAAATCTAGTGCTTATTATTTAAACAACAGAAGCCAGACATAACAGAGGGCAGAAGCGTACTTACTGTTACTTAAGGAAAAACCAAACTTCACCCACACTGACACAAAATAGTAACTTTAATCAAAACATTCCTGATGAAGGCTACTGCAATCCTATGCAAACTTACACAAGAACAAGTTTCTTTGAACATAATAGGGACTTATTTAAAGAAGACACGTGTAGCACTGCTTCAACAACTCTCCAAATAAGAAATGTGGTGATCATGGGGGCTCTGTTGCCATTTCTGGGTCACTCCTTTCCAGGTACTTTCCTCAGCCACGGTCCAACCAGAGCCCGTCCCTCTGACGACAGTGGCAAGCATGACTTCTGTACAAACAAGAAAGCCGAGTGATCAGTAGCCTTCTAAATTCATGCATTCTTCTCCTGAACCTCACAGGATTTTTATCCATTCATACAGGATTCATTATTTTTCCCCTTATACACCACTGTTTTGAATCACGAAAAACATTCTTTTCTATGGAAACTAGCCACTATGGATGCTAGAAGCTGGGACAGTGTATGGGTCTTATGATCACCAAAAGTCTTTAGAAGCACTTTCAGACTGCGAGAACTAGATCATTTTTTTGGTGAAGATGCTTGAAACTCACTGGGCAATTCAAACATAGAACGTTCTGCACCCACCTGCTTAAAGGTCACTGTTCTTTCTTGGTCATAAATGCTTAATACTACTTATATTTTGCAAATATCTACAGAGCAGCCAAAATTCATCTCCATCCATGCTGGAGGTTTTCCCCAATGAACTTGTGTGATTTTTATCTTTGCATTCCATGCTTTGTGGGGCATCCATCCCTGGGCTTGGGGGTCATTTTGGGGGTAGGGACACATCACTGAGTGCAAGAATGCCGGTTTGCTCCTATTTGTACATATTTTCCCTTCACTTCTGGAACCCTGGACTTTCCAGTGATACAAGACCTAGGTCAGGATGTGGGAAACACTTTCATGTCAAAATGGGGTGCATGTTGGCCTTGTTTCACAGATGTTTGGTGCCTCAGCTGAGTCCGTTCTGCAGTGAATTTTCCGCTGGGAGCCCTTCAGATGGAGTGGACTACCTCTCCCATCACCCCCAGTCATGGCAGTCTGACATCTGGAGTGGACCCACAACTTCCCCAACCTGGGAGTGATCTGCATATTTTGAGGATGATTCTGTTTCATGTTCCATATTTGCATACTTATTCTCATCCATTTTCACTGAAAGTTACCCATCCGCTGAGGAGTATATCCTCATTTCCAAAAAGGCAAATCAGTAAAGTTTGCCGTAAGGAAAATGTGTACACACACACACACACACACACACACACACACCACTCATCAGTTCACAATAAAGCATTTCAACACCGACAGTGGAAATGCGTGTGTGCGCGTGCTGGGCAGCAACAGCCGCAAAATCACTAGCAACGTGCCATGCGAGTTCCATGACGATGCCGGCCTGGCCTGCATGTGACAAGACGCCCCATGGCCAGATCTATCTGTGGGGCGTCTTACTGCAGCAGCCATTTTGAACATTTGGGGCACTGTAGCTTCTCTTGGCATACATGTGGGTTGCTGGGGTGGTCAACTCTAGAAAAGTCCATGGATTCTGGTGGTGTGTCAAATCACGCAACCCAGCTCCCATGGCGGGGCAGTCCACTGCAGCCCGTGCAAGCCAGACCCCTGTTCTACACACTTTATTTCTGCTCAGTTTTTATTTAATTAGAGGCCAAACACACTCTGTACTGCACAACTGTAGGGGCAGCCAGACTGTTTTTCAATGCAGATTCAGCCAAATCCAAAAAATTGTCTCTATTCTTGGCCACGGCTCAAGGCGTCCTCAGCCCTTCTGCTTCCCACTGGCTCTCTGGCAATTTTCTCGTGTTGAACATCTGGCTTAATTATCAACGGCACCTTCTCACTGAATGCCTCTCCATTCCTGGCTGGCTAATTGGCCTCAGCTGCTCTTATTAATATTTTGTGGACCTGCTCCCAGTTCCTCTTTCTCGCAGTCCTTCCACTGGTGCCCCTCCCTGCCCCATTGATGTCAAAGCAAACTGCGTGGTAGCAAGGCTCAGTTACACATCTCAGCGGGGTTCTGTTTCTAAATGTGTATCTCGGTGTAAACCGCCCGCTTCTTTTATTACCTGCTCTCTGGTAACAGCCTTACCGTACCTGAGATGAAATAACTATATAATAATAGAGGGGCATTGCTTGATTTCATTAAGCTTTGTTTCCTTACAGAATGTCATGTTCAGCAAATTAGATCAAATTATCCTTCAAGCATTTTCCATGGAGGCAATCTGGCAAGCCCCGAAAAGGTGGGTTACAAAGAGAGAGCTCGGGTTTTATAAAAGAATAAGGTGGGTGGGGGGGGGAGAGACCCAGCTCATTAAAATATAAAGGAACATTGAAGCACACGGTCCCCTTGCACATGGGCACAGCCATGTGCCCAAAGATGGACCAACACAGAGGTCGCCAAAGCCGCCCCATAACACAGGTCACCAGGCGTCCAGCCAGGAGGCAACTGTCTTTGGCCCGGTGACAAGTTATTCATGCACTGGCCGGAAACAGGGAAAAACTAAGAAAGAACTGGTGTTCCCTCTGCTGATCCATTTCCTTGCACTTCTTTTCAGTTACGATAGTTCTGAATCTGTTTGCGTTACAGGGGTTTGCAGCTGAGCCGGCCTGTTTTCCCTTAAGCATCACTGTGAGTGTAGAGTAAGGCATATTTCTCTTGCGTAGCAGGGGCATTGTGCTCCAGTGAAGAACAGACAGAATTTGGTTCAGGCATGGTGGAGGTTGTAGGTTTTTCTGCCGCCTAAACATGCATTGGATTGCACCTTTAGACTTGCAGGAGGTTATTAGAGGAGTGAATCCAATGTTGGTTCCAGTTAGCA